CGCAGCCATCAGGTTCCCAGCGTCCGGCAGCCATCAGGTTCCCCGGGGGTCCCGCAGCCATCAGGTTCCCAGCGTCCGGCAGCCATCAGGTTCCCGGGGGTCCCTCAGCCATCAGGTTCCCAGCGTCCGGCAGCCATCGGGTTCCGGGGGTCCCGCAGCCGTCACGTTCCCGGGGGTCCCGCAGCCGTCACGTTCCCAGCGTCCGGCAGCCACAGCACTGCCGTTCCTGTCTCAGGTTTGGGCCGACACGCAGATGGCCGGGTGGAGCCCATCCATGCTGTAGTGTTGCCACGAGGGAAGTCGCTGGACCAGTGTGTGGAGACACTGCAGAAGCGGACCAGGGTTGGCAAGGCTGGCACCAACAAGCCCCCCAGGTGCCGGGGAAGAGGGGCCCGGCCTGGGGGCCGCCCATCCCCTCGAAATGTGTTTGACTTCCTCAATGAAAAGCTGCAAGGCCAGGCTCCTGGGGCCCTAGAGGCCGGGGCAGCCCCGGCGGGGAGGAGGAGCAAGGACATGTACCATGCCAGCAAGAGCGCCAAGCGGGCGCTGAGCCTGCGGCTCTTCCAGACCGAGGAGAAGATCGAGCGAACCCAGCGGGACATCAGGAGCATCCAGGAGGCTCTCACCCGCAATGCTGGCCGGTAGGTGTGGGGCCCGGCTCAGGGCAGAGGGAAACCCAGGGTGGCCCTGCCCCCAGGACACCTGCGGGAGGTCACCTGACCCAAGCATGTCACGCTGAGTCCAGGAGGGGTCTGCATGTTGGAGGACAGGCAGTGGGCACACGGGCAGTGGACATGGCAGCCTGGGGCTGGCGGCGTGGCCGGGGACCCCACACTGACTGGTGAGCCTCTCCGCAGGCATAGCGTGGCGTCAGCCCAGCTGCAGGAGAAGCTGGCAGGAGCCCAGCGCCAGCTGGGGCAGCTCCGGGCTCAGGAAGCAGGCCTGCAGCAGGAGCAGAGGAAGGCAGACACCCACAAGAAGATGACTGAGTTCTAGAGAACCCTGCAAGCACTATGGATGAAGTGTGGGACCCCAGCACAGGCTGCCCTCAGAAAGACCAGTGTTGCCCAAGGAGGGGCCGGCCTGCTGGCCTGAGGCGTGCGGACCCTGCTGAGTGGAGACGGGGCTGCAGGGTCCTGTCTGGACACTTTCTTGCCCACCTGCCAGTGTCTTGGGCATTTCCTTGGCAAGGACATTAAAGTGATTTCATCACAGTGTCATTCAGTGGAGATCAGCTGGCTGCAGGGTCTCTGGGGACAGAAGGGTCTGTGCAGGGCTGTGGTGAGAGGCGGGCTGGGCTGGAGGGGCCTAGGAGGCCAGCATTCTCCCTTCTCTCCCTTCTCTGTCCAAGGCAGATTGGAGGCCAGGGTGCCCGCCAGGCTGCCTGACACCCACAGATGGGTGGAGCTCAGTGCTGCTCCAGCAGGCAAGACGGGCCAGCGGGCGAGACAGGTGGGAGGACTGTGGCCCACCACGTGGGGTACTCCTGGTGAGGCAGGCAGACCTGGCCCTGTGAGTTTGGGGGTTCTGTGCCAGCTCTGCTCACGTCTTCATGTGTGGAGGGGATGTGAGTTAGGCTGTCAGAACAGTGCGGGCTCGAGGCACACACGTTTCATCTAGGCTTCGGGCGGGGCGCAGCAGGTGGGTGAGGCTGCGGTGGTGGCTGCTGCCCAGGGTGGGAGGCTCAGGGGAGGCGCTCGGCAACAGGAGCAGGAAGTGATGAGGTGGGGAGCTCAGCCGAGGGCTGCACAAAGACCTTCCTCGCCTGCCCCAGACAGAGCTGAGGACCCCTGGCCGTGGGCTTGGTAAGTGCCTGGGCAGATCCCCAAGTCTCTTGGTCCCCAAGTGCCCTCCTGGGGGGCAGCTGGGGTCTGGGAGGCCTTGGGACGTGGCTGTAGCTGGGTTAGTCGGCCGGGCTGAAACCCACGCCCTGGGTCTGGGCAGACTGGCCCCGAACTCCAGAGACCACCCCTCACCCGCCAGCCGCTGCCTCTGTGCTGCGGGATGTGCTGACTATAAGGCGTCCCCCACCCCCAGAATTCTGCTAATCCCCAAGAAGGGGACAGATCCTCTGGCAGAGACAGTGGCAGACAAGAAGAGCCAGAAGTGGGGTGGGGGTATCAGCACCCCCAGCAGCTGCTGCTGCCTGCTGACCCAGCGTCCAGCTTCTCCCAGTTCTGGGCTCTGTGGCGAGTGGCTTGGGGGCGCTCCCTGACACAGGAGACCATGTCTGGGCAGAGAGTGGCTGCGGGTGGCGTCTGTGGCCTGTGGCGCACACCCAGGGCCTCCCCCCGATGCCAGTTACAATTTGGGCTACAGTGGCCACAGCTGCCCTGCCCCTCCTTGCGGCAGTGCTGGGCGTTACCATGGTCACCTGCAGGGACACCAAGGGGCCAGGCAGAGCAGCCCTTGCTCACCTCACCTCACCGGGAGCCCCCGCCAGAAGGGAAGGTGGGCACCTCTGGGAGGAAGGGACTGCCAGGCCTTGGGGCTTCCTGTGCTGAGTCAGAGCAGGAGCGGGAGACGCAGGAGCTCCGCAGCCGCGGGAGGTGCAGATTTGGTGCTGCCAAGTGGCGTAGGTCCCCTTGGCCAGCACCCAGTGGCCTTTCTTCTGCCCCCAGGGTCTTGGCTTCACAGGATGGGGCTGCCAGTGTCCTGGGCTCCTCCTGCCCTCTGGGTTCTAGGGTGCTGCGCCCTGCTCCTCTGGCTGTGGTCGCTGTGCACAGCCTGCCGCAGGTACGTCCATCAGCCCGGTTCTGTCTGGCGCCTTCCTGCGGCTGCCATTCAGCCCAGCGCGGGAAGGGGCTGGAGGCAGGTCCGCGCCCCCAGGTTTGTACGCGCCCCTGCACTGGGCCTTGGACCTGAGGCTGACGACCCCGCCCCCCACCTCTACCCCCAAGGCCTGAGGACGCTCTAGCCCCCAGGAAGAGGGTGCGGAGGCAGCGGGCGAGGCTGCAGGGCAGTGCGATGGGAGCGGAAGCGGTGAGTGCCAGGCTGTCCCGGGGACCAGGGCGGGGCCCGCAGGGGACCGACCAGCCTTCCTCGCCCCCAGTCCCTGCTGAGGCGGACCCACCTCTGCTCCCTCAGCAAGTCGGACACCAGACTGCACGAGCTGCACCGGGGCCCGCGCAGCAGCAGGGGTGAGCGGAGGGCGGGACGGGGGTGGCCGGGCGGGGCTTACTGTGCAGCGTGCCAACCCCTGGGTCAGACCCGCTCCTGCCCCCTGCCCCGAGTGAACTCTGCCCTGACCCCACCCCCAGCCCTGCGGCCTGCCAGCATGGATCTCCTGCGCCCACACTGGCTGGAGGTGTCCAGGGACATCACCGGACCGCGGGCAGCCCTCTCTGCCTTCCCGCGCCAGGAGCTGCCCTGGGCTCTGCCGGCAGCTGCAGCCACCGCAAGGTGCGCTGGCCCCGAGGCCACCTATTCCAACGTGGGGCTGGCGGCCCTCCCCGGGGTCAGCTTGGCGGCCAGCCCTGTGGTGGCTGAGTATGCCCGCGTCCAGAAGCGCAAAGGGACCCAACGCAGTCCCCAAGAGCCACAGCTGGGGAAGGCTGAGGTGACCCCGGCCGCTCAGGTAATGTGGGCCAGGGTGGGGCACTGTGGGTAGGGCCGGAGGTCCTCAGCAGGTTGGACGGTGCTGACCCCTCCTCGGGTTGGCTTCCTGTCTCCAGGTGGACGTCCTGTACTCCAGGGTCTGCAAGCCTAGAAGGAGGGACCCAGGACCCACCACAGACCCGCTGAACCCCAAGGGCCGGGGAGCGATTCTGGCCCTGGCGAGTGACCTGGCCTACGCGACCCTCCCGCTCAGCGCCCTGGATGCGGACGGCAGCCCCCTGGAAAACGTGTATGAGAGCATCCCGGAGCTGGGGGACCCTGCTGGCAGCAGCAGCACGTGCGGAACCCGGACGCCCCCTGCTTCCAGCTGCCCCAGCCTAGGGAGGGGCTGGAGACCCCTCCCTGCCCCGAACACTCAAGGACTTGTGCTCCGGCCTCCAGAGAGGCCCGTCCCCCGCCCCGCCCCGCCTCACAGCTGACAGCGCCAGTCCCAGGTCCCCGGGCTGCCAGCCCGTGAGGTCCGTGAGGTCCTGGCCGCTCTGACAGCCGCGGCCTCCTCGAGCTCCAGAGAAGGCCCGCGTCTAAATAAAGCGCCCTCGCAGGAGGAACGCAGCCAGCCTCGCAGCCTGCTCTTCTTGAAAGCTGGGCGGGTTGGGGCGGGGGGCTTGCCTGGAAGGCTTGGAGCTGTCCCCTCTGGCCTTGGGGG